TCCAGCTCCTGCCTCCAGGTTCCTGCCCTGAGTTCCTACCTTGGGCTCCCTGATGAACTGCGACCTGGGAGATGTAAGCTGAATAAACCCTTTCCTCCCCGAGTTGGTATTGGTCAGAGTGTTTTGTCACAGCAATGAAGAAACAAACCAGGACAAGACCCTAGGATCTGGTGTACCCCAGCCAAAGGCCTAGGACCAAGCTGACCACTACGCTTCAGTTTTAGCCCCTAAGTGTTTGCCTCGGTTTCTGTAGTTAGGAGCACCATAGGGCTAACCACCCCCCTTGGCTGAATCCTTGACTCTACCTAGTTTTCTCCCTGCAAACAGAGACCTGCACTCTGCTCTGTCTCCCTATCTGCTTCTCCAAATGGCCACACCGAACTTCACCACCATCTGGGTTAAAATGTCCCTTCTACCAGATTCTTGTTGCTGAACCAGATCCCAGATGGGAATGTGGCTGAGCGCAGCCTAAATTAGCCATTTCCCCTCTTAAGTGCGGGGCATGGATGATAAAACATCCACTTTTCAGGGAGCAACACAAAAGCTAAGTCAGCTTCCCCATTCCCTGGTCCTTCCTTCCTGGCCCAGGCCATGACAATCCCAGCATGCCTCAGTATCATACTATGACAGCACAGAGAGGCACATGGGAGGAAGCAGACATCAGGCTTACACCTATGCCCCTCCCTGTGGCTCCAGCCTCTGCTGTGTGGAAGTGGAATCTACCCCACCTCCTGCAGAAATGAGCTGGCCTTGGACTGGTTTTGAACATCACAGTGACACTGGGCCAGGCTGGGCTTCAACACTTGGAATGCATCTTTGGAGCCCAAAGACCATCACATGAATGAGCCCAGGTTAGCTGGCAGGAAGGTGAGTGACCACATAGAAGACAGCCAAGTCCCCCAGCAGAGGTCTAGACTAGCTGGTGGGCTGTGACCCGCCAGTCAAGATCAGCCACCATCAGCACTGCCACCCCACCCACCCCGAGAATGATAATTGATGTGGTTTCCAGATACTAAGTTTTCGTAGCTTGCTTTGTAGAAAGAGCCCATATGCCACTTCCACATTTACTGACTTAAATTTTTTATCACATTCCATTATTTTGGGTATATGACTGTGGATGCCATGCCATGACACACACATGGTGATCAGAGGACAACTTGGGAGGTCTCAGGTCAACAGGCTTGGCAGCAAGCCCCTTTACTGGCTGAACCATCTTGCTGACCCTATATTTACTAGCTTTTGAACATGAGTAGCTTAGGTAACCTCTTTGACCTCAAACTCCTTATCTGTAAAGGGGGGTGATGAAGGCACTTTCTGGAAGGGCTGGAGGAGGCTTGGCTGGCCTTGGCACACTGGGGTCTCCATCATGGCTGCCCGCTGTCCTAGCCCTGATTTACTCATCTTCTAGGCCTTGTATCACCAAACCCAGCCCCCCTGGGCCCCATGCTCACCTGAAGCGTAGCCAATCATGAAGAGTAGGTAGACCAGCAGGAAGCGGAAGAGATCTTTGAAGAGGATCTAACTCCCAGGGGTCACAGAGGAAAGAGCAGACATGGGTATCTCTTTTCCTGAGGTCCCCACTCCCCCAGCCTATCCTCTCCAAGCTCCACCCAATCCCACCCCCACGTTGGATCAAGCTGGCTGTCCCCCACTGCCCGCATCCTCAGGTCTATGGGCCATAGGACAGATGCATGGTGAGTCATAGGGTCCCCTGTCCCGAACCTTCTGGATCATGATGCTGTAGGTGCCCGTCAGCTTCAGCCCGCGGGTGAAGTAAAGGGCATTCATCCAGCCCAGGACAAGGGCAAAGACCATGACAGCCAGGTAGGCCTCGATCCCTGCTAGGTAGAGTGCCGCAGAGACAATCACCAGCACCGAGTAGATGAAGCTACAGAGCAGAGGTGAGAGGCAGAGCAGAGAGGGGACACTGAGACTCTGGAGGGACAGGCATGTCCTCCAGGGTACCAACATGTCCCAGCGTCATCTAGAAGAGAACATGGAGCAGCTGGCACCTCTGCATTCAGTTAGCCAGAGGCCTGATAACTGGGCCACTGATAAGTGTGAATTTGCTCTGCAGCCGATCGATCCCAAAGCCATGCCTTTGGGAATTGTTGGGAAACAGTCAGGGTTCTGTGGATATTTGTGGCTAAATAAATTTCATTGTTCTCTAATTCTACAGGGAATGGAAAAGATGTAACACACATGCAGTAATTTCCATATTCTGTGCCCTTGGTAGACATCACTAATCAATCATAGCACTTCTCCCCACTAATCAGACAGTTTCACAATTCTCAATCACAAACAGACATTAGCAATTAATCACCAGCAGAAGGGGTCAAAATTCTTTCTGTGGTATGTGTGTAGCCTCTAGCAACCAGGCTGTGTCATATCTAGAAGACCCTATTACCTGCCTTGGCCTTGCCACCCCCGCTTTGGATTAGGGCTGTTTTGTTGGATGAATTCACTTTGTCATGTCTCCCTACCACCCAGATGACCGCTGCCACGGGAAGGCTATCCAGGTATCCGTACTCACTAGAGCAGCTGGAAGGAGCCATCAACGAAGAGAGAATTCACTCCGGGGCATTTCTTCATGAACAAATCTTTGATCTGGAAGAGGGGAGAGGGCCCATGACCGGAGTGCAACCAGGAGGAATTGGGGCAGAGGGAGGGGACGGAAGAAAGGAAGGCAGAGTGTGGGAGAGAGAGGAGACCAGGGGCTTTGCTGAGGGAGGAAAGAGCAGGGAACAGAGGAGGAGGGAGAGGAGGAGGGGGGAGGACAACGAGGAGGGAGAGGAGGAGGAGGAACAAAAGGAGGAAGAAGGAGGGGCGGAGGGGAAAGAGGAGGAGCTGGGCAGGCAGATGACACTGGGCCAAGCACTCACACTGGTGAAGAAGAACAGGACCCCTGTGAAGAGGGTGATGACCTCACCGGCCAGCCTCAGGTAGTCCACAGTGCTGTGGTAAGCATAGGGCGGCTGGGGAGAAGATGCAGCAGATTCTCACCTGTTCTCCCAACATCTGGCCCCATCCAGATGCTCCCCCAAACCTCTGACCTGTATGCCCCCGCCCCCTCATCAGGGTCTCCTCATGCTCAGAGCTCCCTGGGTGCTGGGCACTTCTCTACCCCATGCCTTCTCCAGTCCTGGGCGGCCCCTGCACAGCCTGAGCACTCACTGTGCCCTCCAGTGGCTGGTAGTAGGCAGTGAGGGTGAAGATGACCATGGCACACAGATAGGACACCACATTGATGTAGAAGGATGCGGCCCCAAACTTGCGCCATTTGTCCCGCAGCAGCTCGTTGATGGGTTCCACGGCCAGCATCTCATGGCGGTTCTGTGAGAGGCAGCGTGTCAATGGCCTTCACCATGCCGAGGACCCTGCAGCACAGCCTCCCCTCCCTCCACTCCTCCTTTTCTGAGCCATTCTCCTGCCACACTCTGGGACCCATAGAGAGTTGGATAAATATTCAAAACCACTCCCAATGGATTCCTAGAGTTGGCGTTCAAGGCTCTGTGCAATTCTACCTCAACCTTTCCCTCCTAATCTAGACCTGAGAACCAAAAGCTCCTTAAAGAACATCTATTATGGACCAGGGAGATGACTCAGCCTGGTTATCCGAGTTCAATCCCCAGAGGACCCATACAAAGATGAAGGGAGAGAACCAACTCCACAAAATTGTCCTTTGATCTCCACATAAGCCCTATGGCATGTACACATAATAATGACATCTATCGTAGCTGGGCTTGGTGTCACTCACCTGTAACCTCAGCACTTGGGAGACTGAGGCAGGAGGAACACAAGTTCAAGATGAGCCTCAACTACATAGCAAAAGCCTTTCTAAAAACCCAAGGAGGGGTAGGCTGGAGAGATGGCTCAGCGGTTAAGAGCACTGGCTGCTCTTGCAGAGGACTTAGGTTTGGTTCCGAGTACCCACACAGCAGTTAATAACCACCTGTAACTCCAGTTCCAAGAGATCCAATGCCCTCTTCTGGCTTCTGCAAGCATGAGGCACACACATGGTGTACTTACATATGTGCAGGCAAAATACTCATACACATAAAATAGATGATTCTTTAAAAACAAAAAAACAAAAAAAAAAACAAGGGACACTGGGCATGGTAGCACACACATTTAATACCAGCACTCAGGAGGCAGAGGCAGGTGGATTTCTATGAGTTTGAGCCTAGTCTGGTCAGGTTACATAGTGAGACCCTGTCTAAAAAACAAACAAACAAAAAACACCCAACCTATGGACATAGCTGAATGATAGAACACTTGCCTTACACATACAAGGCCCCAGGTTGAATCCAAAGTGTCACTAAAAACAACCAACCCTCCCATCACTTTTTCTCATGTTTCCCAAATCCCAGCCTATGAGTGGTACTGAACTGTTGGCAGCTTGCTGAAAATATAAATTTCTGGGTTCCATACTCAGAAAGTCTAATATAAGGAGAAGACTGGGACATTTAGCTCAAAGACAGTGATTGACATATCATAATTCTTCAATTCTGAACCCAGGGCACACATCAACGATTGAGCCATGCACAATAGTGCTGTATACAGTTCTAGTAGACACGACCAGTTGATCAGTTTGTACCAGATATGCCAAACCTGCAAACCCTGATATACAACAAGTTGGATTTTCATTTCGGGGATGGAGGAAGTGAGGTCCTTGAAGGGACAACCCAGGCTACAGAGCCTGGGCCACAAGGAGGGCTGGGAGGGGGCCACCCATTCCCCATCACGACCCACCCATGTGTACAACATCCTGTTTGAGGGCTGAGTATGTAGACACAAAGGTGTAACTGCAGCATATTCCTCATGATGAGTCACAACAGAGGGCAGGGTGTTAAGCAAGTGGCATGCTCACACAGGGCACCAGTATTCTTGGAGAGTACTGCATGGCACAGAACATTGTTCACAAAAGACTGCTGAGTGAGAATGAAGGGCTTTTAAAGCTTTGTAGCACGATCACTAACAACAGCTGACACGGAATGATCATCTGTGCTAGACTGTTCTAAAATTAACTCATCTGGAACCCCAACAATCCTGTGGGGTAGGCATCACCCTTCTCTTCACATTATAAAGAGAGAAACTGAGACTCAGAGAGGTTAAGTCGTACCCTGGGTCACACAGCATGTACTGGACAGAGCCAGGGTCCCAACTAAGCCCTACCTGCCCCGAAGCCCATCCTCCATAAACCCTGCTCATTTCCCTATGTACTGGACACAGTCCTGGGTGCTTAGTTGGCATTGACCTTCCAGTTTAGGTCACGGAGCTCCCCAGCCCTATGGCTCTGGCCCTGCTCCCAGCCGCAACCAGCCCGTCCTCCCCACCCTGGTGCCCACCTCAATCTTGCTGTTGTAGACCAGGATCTCCAGCACAGACACCTCCTCTCCACACGTGTCCAGGGACGAGAGGTCGTAGAGCGAAGAATACACCGGCCCATAGGCCCAGTCCTTGAACTTGCGGGACAGGTGCCGCGTGTCCTCGTCCGTCACCTCCCGCCGGATGATGTGCTGAAAGACCTGCACGGGATGGATGTGCATGGGTGAGAGTGTGTGTGCTCATGTGTTTACACTGTGTGCACATGTGTGTATACAGTGTGTGAATGTGTGTATACTCTGTGTTCACTCTGTACACTCTGTGTGTGTGCACTGTCTATGCATGTGTGTATATACTCTCTGTGTGCATGCATGTACACTGTGTGTGTATTGTATACTCTGTGTGGATATGCACTCTATGTATGTGTGTATGTGTGCTGGATAGCTTTAGTGTCAACTTGACACACCTGGGTTGAGGGAGCCTCAGTCGGGGAATTGCCTCTATTGGACTGGCCTGTGGCCATGTCTGAGGGGCATCTTCTTGATGAGTGATGTGGGAGGGCCCAGCCCACTGTGGGTGGTGCCCCCCCTGGGCAGGTGGGCCTGTGTTGCATAAGAAAGCAGGCTGAGCAGGAGCCAAGGGAGCAAGCCTGTAAGCAGCATTCCTCCATGGCCTGTGCTCCAGCTCCTGCCTCCAGGTTCCTGCCCTGAGTTCCTACCTTGGGCTCCCTGATGAACTGTGACCTGGGAGATGTAAGACAAATAAACCCTTTCCTCCCCAAGTTGGTACTGGTCAGAGTGTTTTGTCACAGCAGTGAAGAACAAACTAAGACAGTATGTATGCATATGTATATGTTTGGGTACATGTTTTGTGCATGTGTGTGTTTGCATGTGTGGTGTGTTTGTGTGCATTCATGTGGGCAACTCACCCCAATCTTGCCTGTCTTGGCAGCCATCATGAGTGGGGAGAGGCCATCGTTGTTGAGCACGGCCTCCAGGTTGCTGTCGGGGAAGAGGCGGGAGCACTTGAGCAGCAGCAGGTCATACATCTTGGTGACGAACTTGGTGTTCTCCCGGGTGTTGTCTGCAATGGCCACCAACGCATGCAGCACGGTGTTGCCCCGGGAGTCCTGTCGCCGCATGTCAGCCTTCTTGTGGGGGTTCTCAGTCAGGTAGTTGACGATGTGTGGCTGGTTGGTGCAGGCTGCCAGTGACAGGGGCAGCTCCCCTGGGGATGGGGGGATCCGGGATCAGTGAGGGGGACAGAAGCCACAGGGGCTCTGCTTGTGATGCTGGGCGTGGGGACAGAAGCTACCACCTGCAGCTGCAGAGTTGGCTGTGGGCCATTGCAGGATGACTGCTAGAGAGGCAGGTGTGACTATTTGGGGATGTGGCCATGCAATCTGGAAGCTGTGTGGGTCTGGACTCGGCATGGCTGGATTCTTTGTGGAACATTGACTTTGGGTCCCACATTACCCATGGTGTCAGCAGGGTGACATTCCAGGTATTTCACTGGCCCAGCTGTGACAACATGCCAGTGATATGAGCCGAGAGATCCCACACCTTGTTCAGTGTTAGTGGGAGTAAAGGACACCTGCATAGGAGGGTGGTGGGTGCTGACACCCTACCACAGCCCTCGGGATTCTCCTGATCTCAACTGTAGATGGGGAAACTGAGGCTCAGGAAGTGCAATCACCTGCCTGGGAAGTGGCAGGGTGAGAATCTGGACCAGGTCCTGACTCAGAGCTCTCTCCCTGCTTCCCCCTCAGGCATCACTTCAGCAAGCAGGAGCCCCGCCCCCACACACACACCAGGATCCATGGACCCATGTCACAGGGTGGTTTGGGCCTGTGGCTAGTGCAGCTCTGTATGTCTGAGGAGTCACAGGGCTGTAGACACCAACCTGGCCCGGGTCTCTCCCACCCCTAGCTGCTTCGAGGACCCATAGGGCCCCACTCACCGAAGTAGAAGTAACCGCCCTCATCCTTGGGCTGGAAGAAGCGCCCTCGGGCCTGGGCATGCACATCTGCCCCCTGGGCCACCAGCAGTTCCACGTAGTGCTTGCAGCGCCTCTCGATGGCGATGTGCAGGGAGGTCTGGCCTGGAGGGGACAGTCAGCTAGCTCAGGCAGGACAGGGACCCAGCCAGGCCTGTGCAGAGCAGGCTACAATGAGGTGTGGACACTGGGGTGGGGACCAAGAAGCTGGACCTTGCCAGCATCACCAGAAGGCAGCAGGCAGGCTGTAGACAGTTCTGGTGATTTGGAATTTAGGGTGCATGTAGCGTGGGATTGGCTGCATTCTGGAGCAACTTTAACCTCAAAGAATGAACAGTTTGTGGGTTCAAAGGTAAGAACTCGCATGCACACACTTTTAACCCCAGAGGAAGCAATGGATTCCTGGTCTCAGAACTTTTAAAAAAGATTTTATTCATTCTTTTTTTTTTTTATCTTTTTGAGACAGGGTCTCCCTGTAGTCCCAGCTGACCTTAACTCACTATGTAGACCAGGCTGGCCTTGAACTCACAGAGATCCGCCTACCTCTGCCTCCCACGTGCAGGGACTAAAGATGTGGGCCACCACGCCTGGCTTTTTATTCATTCATTTTTATTTTATGTGTATGAGTGTTTTGCCTACATGTATGTAAATGAACCACATGTGTGCAATGTCCACCGAAGCCAGAGAGGGCATTAGATCCCCCTAGAAGTGGAGTTAAGGATGGTTGTTGGCCGCCATGTGGGTGCTGGGAACCAAACCCAGGTCCTTTGCAAGCTCAGCCAGTGCTTTTATCCACTGAGCATCTCTCCAGGCCCCTCACCCAGCCTCAGAATTTTGACTGTGACTTTAAAATGCATCCTTTGAGCACAGGAGCAGGCGCTCCTTGTGGACCACTGACAGAACTCACATCTTGGGAGAGATGCCCATGGCGTGGTCAGAGAGGAACGGGACTCCAGCTGGATCAGTCAAATCAACCCCGGCAATCAGAGGGGGTGGAGGTGTCCAGCCCTATCACCCCCACACTCAGGAACTTTGTAGACTTTGAATCTTGGTATCTCAGAGTTGGAAAGGCCAGCTTTGATTTATAGACATTCAGAATTGGGGAGCAGAGAGCTTGTACATGTGTTGCCTTGGTGTCCCCCCATGCCACCCCCCAGGGCTTCAGGTTCAGTGCCCTGCACTGCAGAACCTCTGGGTGGCCTCTGGGGTTTGGCTTTCTTTCTCATGAGCACTGGAAAGCAATGGACCACCACATCATGGCAGCTCAGAATTGCAAAGTGGAGGAGTGGTTACTGCTCCCTCGATCATACATTTATTCATTCATTCATTCAACAGCCGCTTCATGGGCAGACGGGCACTGCCAGGCCAGACCCACCTCGGTAGTAGATGTCTCGGAAGGGCGAGTTGATGAACTCACGCATGTTGCCTGTGCGCTCTGCAATGTCCAGCAGCACAGGGATGGTGTCATTGCGGCCATTACTCAGGTTCAGCAGGGCCTTGGGCAGGCAAGTCTTCCCTGTGGAGGGCTCTGAGGCAGTTGGAAGAGGCAGGGCTCAGTAGGGGGCTCTGGATTGGGAGCAGGAACAGGGCCTGGCTGCCACACTCCTCTCTGAGCCCACCCCCTGCCTGTCTGGTGGGGATACAGTGCCTCTATCTCAGTGTCAGTAAACTTATGACAGTAGATAGGCTTTGACATGGGGGAGGGAGACTACAGCCTACAGATTGGCATTTAATAAATCGTGTTTGGGGGAGATTTCTTTTCAAGACAGGGTCTCACTATAAAGCCCAGGCTGGCCTTGAACCTCAGTCCTCCTGCCTCAGCTTCCAGAGTGCTGGGATTACAGGTGTGTGCCACCATATCCTTGCACTTGAGGGCATTTTAAAAAGGGCTTTGTAATCAAGTAAATAGGAACATAGAGCCAACTAGGCTGGAGTGTAGCTCAGTGGTAGAGAGCTTGCCTAGCGTGGAAGAGGCACCACTAAAAGAAAAAAAACAGAAACAAATCAAACAAAAAATAAGACTCCCAAGCCAACCATACACCGTTACCACAGGATAGTTAGATCCCCTTTCTGTCCTTCCTTTCCCTTCCTTCCCTTCCCTCCATCCTTTCTGTATGTATGTACATGTGGTCCATGTACATGGAGGCCAGAGGTCAACTTTAGGTGTCACCTTCAATTGCTCTCCACCTTATTTTATTTTATTGGTCTTTTTGAGACAGGGTCTCCCTGTAGCCCCAGCTGTCCTGGAACTCACTATGTAGACCAGGCTGGCCTTGAATTCACAGGGATCAGCCTGCCTCTTCCTCCCGATTGCTGGGATTAAAGGTGTGCGCCACCACGCCCAGCAATGTGTTTTTATTTTATACGTATGAGTGTTTTTCCTGCATGTGTGTAAGTATACCACATGCATGCCTGGTGCTTCTGGAGGTCGGAAGAGGGCATCAGATCCCCTGGAACTGGAGTTAAGGATGGGTATGAGCCGCCTTGTGGACACTGGGAACCAAACCCAGGTCCTCTGCAAGAACAGTCAGTGTCTTAATTGCTAAGCCATCTCTCCAGCTCCCCACCTTATTTTTTGAGGCAGGGTCTCTCACTGAACCCGAAGCTCACTGATTCAGCTAGACTGATCCCAGGAACGCTCCTGTCTCCACCTCTCCAGTGTTGGGATTACAGACATGCACCACCACGCCTTTTCATGTGGGTGCTGGGGATCCTGACTCAGATCCTCAGGCTTGTGCAGCAGGCACGTTGCTTACTGTGCATGGGCATCTCCCCAACCCTTGCCTTTAACTGGCCCAGTGATATGGATATCTGAAAGTAAGTCATACCAGGTAATATTTGCCCACCTATAGAAACATAGAACCATTTTTGCATGAAACATTTATACTAACACCCCTAGAGGGGAGTAGAGGACCACAGTGCTCCCCCAAGCATGTGCTGAATGCGCAGAGAACGTGACATCATTTTAGGAGGGAGCAGGTCCAGGGGGGGTGTCCCACAGATGTGGTGATAGAGTATGAATGTTTCAGCTGCCATCCAACCTCTCACTAAGTTCTACTGCCTGGTGTGTGGGTCCCTGGCACCTCTCTCCAATTCTTTCCAATGCCCCCTCATAAGTTTTTTCCCTCACTATGAGGTGCATGGCTATAGGAACTGGTTTCTATCTCCAAAGAACTGATGAAAAGCAAACTCCCCTGTGAGTCAAGCCTAGAAATGGCTCCCAAGTGGGAGCCACAGGTGTGGGGTGAGGGCCAGCTCCACAGCCAGGCACCTTGGGGTTCCAGTCTTTGCTTCCTTTCTAGTTGAATCGAAGCCCAGGGGTAATCGATGAACTAATCAAAATTGTGATTAGCTGGGCTTCAGGCAGCAGTCAGCCCTCCATAAGTATCAATGCTGTAGTTGGTATCCTGCAGGGGGCCTGGCAAGGCCATCTCCCCACATGCCAGGTGTCATCAGGGAGAGCTTGAAGCCTGGGAAACTCCATTCCCAGCCCTTAAGAGTGAGGGTGCCTTGAGAGTCTGTCTCCTTGACTGTTCTCTGCTGTGCCCTGGCACCCAACTGTTTGTTGAATGAATCAGTGATGCCAGATTCCCATGTGCATCAGGTGGAAGGGCTAGCCCTGAACTCTGGCCAAAGCCCCTGGGGGCTGTGCAGATGCACAGACACCCCACACAGCTCTGGCCTAGGGGTGATGTCTGTCTGTTTTATCATGTTGCCAAGCAACTCAAAGCTCTCCATGGCAACCCAAGCCCCTCTCCCAGCCTGCAAGTCCCCTTCTCAGAGGATGCTGTACCCATCCAGTCAGAGACCTGATTTGCCATCCCTGGCTTTGTCCTCCCTTCTCCCCTGTGGCCACCCCATCATGTCTATTTTACCCATTTTCTAGCCACCCCCATGGCCTCCCATCTCTGCTGCCACCACCCTGGCCTAGACACTGTCTCTCACAAGCCCCAAGACACCTCCTTGGTTGCCCCTAGTCTCTCTTGCCTCCATTCATCTACTTTCCACGCAGAAGCTGCTAGTTACCCCAGAGACACTCCAGAGGTCACAATGGGCCACAGAACCTTTGTACTGGCTATCCTTTCACTCCTCCTTCTTCCTCTTTTCACATGCTTAGTGCAACTCACTCAGACTCAGCTCAAGTGTCACCTCCTCCGGGAAGCCCTCTTAGATTTCCCCTGGCTAGCTCAAACCTTCCAGTAGAGCCTCTTGTTGAACACCCTTACAGTTTGTAACTACATATTTATTTCTGTGGCTGCTTGGTCAATTCCCGTCCAACCTGGGAGCCTGAGAATGACTTGAGAGCAGGGTTCCATCTGCCTTGCTCATCAATTCTTCATCGTCCAACCCCCTCACCTAGCCCAAGCTCCTGGTACCTCATGAAGGCCCAACAGCATGAGCTGAGTACCCAGTAAAGGAGCCCAGCCAGGAACTCAGGTGATCCAAATCACAGCCGGCCCAAAGAAGGACTGAGCCCTGGGTTAGAGTTTCCACGGCCTCCAGCACTGCCTATACCAGAGAGGGAGCTGCCAGTGCAGATCCTGGGCTGGACACGAGGAGCAGCCTCCTCCAGAGGGAGCAGCATCCGTAGTTCCACCACCGACCACCAGGTGGCGATGCGTCTTTGGCTGTGGGGCCTGCGGAGCCAGGGGCCCTAAATTGCCTATTGCCAAACAGGAGGTTGTGAAACTATGCTGGTGGGGGATCCCAGACACCCCTGAAATTAGATGAGCTCATCTGCCTCCAGCCAGAAAAACACACAGGAGCGGATCCAGGCTCTGAGGCCTGTACAGTTTAGGGGCCCTGTTTGGCCTGAGAACAAGGAATAAATAGAGAAGCCGGTCGGGGACCCTAGGAAGGGCTTAATGAGTGAGGCCCTGCAGCTTAGTCGGCATCCCAGGGCCCCCCACACTCACACTGCAACCTCAGGGCAGATTGCCAAGAGTCCCCCTAGCCAAGAGTCCCCCACCCAAGCTCATGCCCAGACACTTTCTGGGGATTCTTGGACTGAGCTGAGCCTCCTACTCAACCCTGAACCCTAGAGAAGCCAAATGCTTGGAAGACCAGTTCAGTGGGGCTCTGCCCTGCCAGAAACTGCAAGGTGGGCCCTGCCGCTAGAGTGCCACCCTTGCCTCATATACGGGGAACACTGCAGGGAAGGATGTGGCCAGGGTGAGTCTTACACTGCCACCAATTTGTGACCTCCTGAAACTTCAAGCTTGTACCCCCAAAATGAACTACCCTCCACAGGCATCGAAAGTATTTTTTACAGAATCCAATAATCGTCTGTGGAGGACATAGCCCTGGACATTGAGCACAGATTGAGGGGGGCTGGAGAGATGGCTCAGTGATTAAGAGCACTGGCTGCTCTTAAAGGACCCAGGTTCACATCCCAACACCCACATGACAGCTAAGAACCCTCTGTAACTCAGTTCCTGAGGAGCCTGACGCCCTCTTCAGACCCCTGCAGGCACTGCATTCGACAGGGGTGGGCATGCAGGCAATACACTGATACACATAAAAATAATCAGATTGAGCACTGGAGACATGGCTCAGTCATTAAGAGCACTGGCTGCTCTTACAGAGGACCAAGTTTCAGTTCCCAGCACCCACATGACAGCTAACACTGCCATAGCTACACGGGCCCTCTTCTGGCCTCCACATCCATGCATGCACATGGTGCATTTACATACACACAGGCAAGACACTCATACACGTAAAGGAAAAATAAATGAATAGAAAAATTTTTAAAGAATCAGATTGATAAAAGCAAAATAAAATAAATAAACAGGGAAAAATCATCTTGGTCACCATGTGCTGGCTTGGAGAAGGGGCTCACAGACAACATGCTGTGTTATAGGGGAGAGGTCAGGGCAGCTCAGAGGGAGCTGGGCTCCATGGAGGGTTCTGGACGTGGACAGGCTACACATCCCGGGGGAAGGGAAAGCTGGGTGGTGGTAGTCCAGGGCATTGGGGACTAGTGAGTGTGGGGTAGACCAGCTGCCTGCCACCCTCCAGCCCTCCCCGACGGGGTAAGGGACCCTGACTGTTCCTCATCAACCAGGCCACTTTCACGGTTCTCCAGATTAAAGGTAAAGAGACTGACTGGGAAAAGCCACACTCTCCGCTTAAGTGTAAAGGTGGGGTTGGAACCCCTGCGGGTAGACTTGGTTTACCTACTAATAAATGAGTATGTGCAGGCAGTTGCACCCCAGAGAGTTTCAGTAAAGGATGCACAGCACCAGATTCCTGTCTAGTATTCCTCTGCAATCTGCATGTATCTGGCCCACGGAGAGAGGCTGAAGGGAAAGGGACTCTCCAAAGCCAGGCAACTCCCAACATGCCCACCAGGGTGGCTCACCCCGAAACTCCTCATCAGTCAGGCGCTTCTTGTGGGTCAGCAAGAAGGGCAGCAGTCCATCCAGGTCAGCGGTGGAGCCCCGGGACACGATGTCAAAGAGGATGGGCCGGTTGAAGACTTTAAGGATGGGGGGTGGCTGGGGTGCGGGAGCTTTGGGGCTCTGTGGCTGCTTCCTGGAGAGGGGAAGAGGGATGAGGGATGTCGTGGATTATCCCCTGCCTTCCTCATCCTCTCTGGCCTTAGGGAACCAGAGATTGGGTGTTGGGGGAGATGAAGCCTTAGGGAGGGTCCAAACTGAAGGACACTAACGAATGCTTTATCCAACAAGCTATAAACCAGTGCCCATGGTGTGTTGGGCAGAAGCAGAAAGAAAAAAAAAAGTAGGCAAGCCTGCCCATCCTCTGCCCACCCTCCATCCACCCACCAATCCATCTATCCACTCACCTTCCTATACCCATTTCTCCTTCGATCCACTCACCCCTCCATTATCCCCTCCTCCCATCTTCCTCATCATCTACCCATCCATCCATTTGTCATTTATTGAACATTTTTTTAAGACAGGGTCTCATGTAGCCTTGAGATAGGTTTGTAGCCAACAATGACCTTGAACTCCTGAGCCTCTTGAGTGCTGGGATAACAGGTGTGCTCCATCAGTTTATTCAGGGCTGGGGATGGAGCCTAGGGTTTCCTACACGCCAGGCAAGTACTCTCTACCAACTGAGCCTACTGAATCCTCAGGCTTTACTGAGTACTAAGGCAAATAAAGACTGAAAGAAAGCAGGCAGGGAGGAGGAACACAAACTAAAACAGCTTGTTCATTCATTCCATCACTCACTCATTAATTTCATCATTCAACGAATGTTTTAGACATATGAGGCTATATTCAGAAGGACTCAGCCCAGTGCCATGCAGTATACTTTAGCCGCAGCCACTGTCATTCCTGAGAGCCATGTGTCTGGAGTCTGTAAGCACATGAGAGAGGTGCTGGGCTACAGAGGGAGCTCAGGGAGGGCGCTGAGGGAGACAGAAAAAGACAATCAGTCAACAAACAGAATTAGGCACCTATTGTGTGCTAGGAACTGGGAGAGCTAGAGCTAGCCTGGGCACCACGAGGACTGGGATCCCTTCTCTACCAGGTTCCCATCCAGTCCAGGGCCTACACAGATGGGATGGATGAGAATCTAAGTAATAAGAACAGAGAGAAGGAAGTATAGGAGCAGCTACAGTGGGGCTGGGGTGAGAGGTGACTGGGAAGCCTGGGCCAGGCAGCCTCAAGTGGGAAGGTGATAGTCACTCTCCTTCATCCCTTAAGGCCCAATGGGGCTCTAAGAAAAGGGGTGCTAGGACATGGATGGGTGCTTACCAGGTATCCCTCTGTCCATAGGGTGGGGACTGAAACAGCCTCCAATGAGAACACCCCCTACCCCCAGCAGTCCCCATTCTACCTGCTCCAAATTTGGATCTTTGAACCTTTAAGTAAAAAGAACGCTGTGCCCAGCAGACCCCACGGAAGCAGTCTTGGGATCTCAGCCATCAGCTGTGCCCTAGTTCTCTAAGGGCCCCTCCAACACCTCCAGGGCTGGGTGGGGATGAGGCTTGAGGGAAGGTTTGTGGGAAGGAAGGGAGGTGCTGAATCCTCAGCATCCAGGACCTCAGACCTGGGTCAAAGGGGCAGAGCACTGGAACTCCTTGCTGCCCTGGGCCTCAGTTTCCCCATTTGAACAATGGTTGGACAGCATCTCTGGTGTATGGTGGGCTGTGACGCCCTGGCCCTGACAGTCACTGTGTCCAGTCTTGCTCCCTTGCTCATGCCCCCCACCACCACCCTGGTACCTAAATGTCAGTTCCTCAGGAAGCCTTCTGAGACTGCCTCCCCATCCTCTCTCTCCCCGTCCAACCTTAATGCTTCCGCACCTGGAATCTGCCTTTATCTGCTCTTTTGCCCTTTCATTGCCTGGTTACCCTTGAAAACTGACAGTGTCTCTGAATTAGGGCTAGGATCTGTTCTGGGTCCTGCAGGATCCCCAAGACCACCCAATCTCACTGCTGGGCATTCTGTAGGTGCTCAAGAAATACCAGTGACTCAGTGAACACCAAAGGGCCAGCTCCTGACCATGCAAGGACCAGGAAGGGTGTGGGGTCCACACAGGAGTAAGCCTGTCTGCTAGCAGCAGGGACTGGAGGAAGATCTGACAGCCCCAGGCAGCTCTGACTTCAGGGCAGGGCTCCAGGACACACTGAGAGGGGTTTTCAGGAAGGAAAGGGGTTGATATCCAAGCTGGGTCAGCTGGGGGCACACCAGTAACAGCAAGAGGGACCTAGGAAGGACTGTTGCCACCTGTTCAACAGGATCACAGGTGACTGAGACTGCAAGCCCCGTTCCCTCTGCCCTTCTCACTGCTGAAGTTGGGGTTGTGCCTACGAAGCCCCTCTTCCCAGAGGTCAAGGAAGGAGGGCCCCACACCAGCAGAGGGCTGCAGGTGACAGACACAGACAAATGCCAACAAGTCTGGGCTGTGAGACTCCATTCATCAGAGCCCATGGGGAAGACGGGCCCAAATAAAGGGGTCTGGGGCTGAAAGCTTCTGATCCTGGTGGGGGCTGGCAAAGAACCCATCTTGAGGAGCCTGCACTGTCGCCCACAGGGGCTTCTTTCTGCTCCGCCATCTTTAGGCTAGGCCTCCTTCATGGGAGAGAAAGGGTTAATGCCTTGAGGCTTCCAACTCTAAATGAGCCCCTGAAAGCCACTGGAAGGGCTAGGGGAGAAAGGTGATGGGAGGGGGCACAGCTGAAGTGGATGGCAGATGGGAATGGATGAAAGGATGAGTACATGAATGAATGACTAAGAAAATGGACAGAATGAGTGACTAAGAAATGAGTGACTAAGAAAATGGATTGTGGATGAATGAACTGGTCAGGGGAAAGAAGGGAAGGGAAGGGAAGGGAAGGGAAGGGAAGGGAAGGGGAATGAATGGGCAGAGTAAAGGCACACACCCAAAACCCTAGCACCTGGAAAGCTGAGACAGGAGGACTGCAAGTTTAGGATCAGTCTGAGTTATATACCAAGACCCATCTCTAAAAGAAAAAAAAAAGTTTGAAGAAAGAGAAAGAAACATAATGAATAAACGATTTTGAACTGCAGGGGCCGAATGACTGGAGGGTGTGTAGACATTTGGATAAGCAAATGGCAGTGCATGGGAATTTGGTTGTGTGGATGGACAACTGGACAGATTGATGACAGAGGGACAGACAAGTGGGTGGACATTCTAGTGAGTGGATGATGGGTGAGCAGATTGGGCAAGTGGAAAGCTGGGTATCTGAATGACGGAGAAGTAGATAACGGATGCATGGGTGGATAAACAGGTGCATATGTAAGTGGGTGGCTATGAAGTGGATGGCACCATTGGGTGTGGGGGGGCAGGTGGATGGACAAGTGGATAGATGGGTAAGTGGAGGGAAAAACAGATGATGAGACAGAGGGGTAAATAGTAATATAAAGGAGTAGGCGGGTGGGTGGATGGATGGAGAGATGTGGACATAGAAATGATGGATAGGTGGAAGGGTAGGTATATGGGTGATGGGTGGGTGGAAGGATGGATAGATAATGGGCGGGTGTTGGGTGGTGGATGGATGGATTGTGTGTGAGTGTGTGGATGGTTAGATGGGTAGATAGTGGATGGATGATGGATAAACAAAAGGACAGATGGATGGCTAGGTGGATGGATAGGAGGTAGACAGACTGTGGATGATGGTGGATGGTGGATGGTGGATGGTGGATGGATGATGTATAGATGAAAGGACAGATGGGTGGACAGGTGGTAGATAGACAGTGGATGATGGTGGATGGTGGGTGATGGATGATAGATGGAATTGATACAGAGAAGGAGACTGTTGACTAGACAGCCAGAAATACTCACTCCATGACCTTCCTCCTCCACCTCTTGTTGTCACTGGGGTGGTGACGGTAGGTGCCATAGTCAAACAGTGAGTCCATTGGTGCTTTTTTAGGCCCAGGCACCACAGAGGACTCATACAGGGTGGATTCCAGCAGGTCGATAGGGTTGGGCACCCCCTTGCGGAAGGCACCCTGGAACTTCATTCGCAGATTCGGGCGACCGTCACTTGGGCCAGCAGGGCGACCAACATCAGCCGGTGAGAGTGAAGGGGAGCCTTCCTCTCCCTCAAACAGATTGGCCAGTGAAGAGAGGGGGAAGGCCTCCCCACCAGAGGTGCCATTCTCATCCCCGGGGGGATCGGTCACCTCCCCAGGTGCTGCACGGGGGCTGTCGCCAGGATCTGCCATGCTGGCCCCAGATCTGTCTTGCTGCTCAGCCTGCTGGGGAGTAAAGGGGGGGGTCAGACAGAGCCCAGCCAGTAGTGGGCTCCAGGAAGCCCCCTCCCACATGGGCAAACAGTACTGCTGCCAGCTGCTTCAAAGCCACCGTTGTAATGACAGGGGCTGGGATGGCCACTCCCAGATGTGGTCAGCAGCCAGCCCCGGGCGGGAGCTGCAACAGGGGCCTCTTTCAGGAACCTGGAGACAGACATGGATCAGCCTCCAGTCCAGCTATCCTGGACACTAGCTAGACAGGAAGGGCTTAGGAGTCACGTGTAACCCCTAAGCCTGGATACTAACCCCCAAAGTCAGTTTCAGAATCTCTTGAAGGTGTGGAGGACCAGGCTCCACACAGCCACTGTGTGAGACTAAACCAGTCAGCATTTTACAACCTCAGTTTCCTCATTAGTGTGGGAAGGATGGTGGTGGGGGTCTATGCCTCTGGGGGAAAGCGAGCAGAGATAGTGCCCAGTATACCAAGAAGTGTCACCAAAACTTTAGCTGCAGCCTTGGCCAGTAGGTGCTCTGAAAACCCGTGTGAACCTACTGCATGGGGCAGTGACCCTTGATGCCCATTCGGTACTTTTGTGACCCCATGATCCCCTCTTACAGATCCAGAACCACGGTCCCAGGTTTTACTTGATGTCCCCAGCCACAGGCTTTGCTTCCCTGAGTTGAGTGCTGACCCTTCCATCCCCTCAGCCTGGTTGGCTCCTGCCTACCTATGTGCCCAGCTGTCCCCTCCCCTCCAAAGCTCCCTGTCCCTCAGGCTCTACTCTTTCCTGGGGGACAGTTAACTCCCAGGCTGAAATGTCCAGGCAGGGAATGCCATCTGTCCCAAACCCTACGGGAAGGAAGAGCAAAGGCAATGATGCCCTTTGTGCCCATATCTCAGAAGAGGAAAATGAGGCTTCCAGAGGGCAGGCACATGGCTTGTTGGGAGAAGGTTTTCTGGTTTTCAGGCTCAATATGTGTTCAGCTGGGCTGGGGCAGAGTGAGGCGCTCTGCAGCACCCTCCTGGCTGGGTTCCGGGGTGTCCTGGAACTCTTTCCCTGGCTACCTGGGTACAGGAGCATATTCAATAAACCCTTCTTGTGTGTGTGTCCTTCTCCTGCCCCCCACACACAGAGGAGCAGCAAATGGGTGCCCATGATGTTTGCTCTGCAACTGCCAAGAGAGAAGCCTTGCCCAGGTGGGGACATGGCAAGAGGCTTTCCTTGCAGGCTCAGCAGAGTACACATAGAGTCAGAGCACCCATCAGGGGCTGCCTTTTCTCTAGATATCAACAAAGAGGAAGAAGCTGGACTTTGGAGTCATTTGGGCCTAGGCTCTAATCCTGGCTTTAGGTTTACACAGAGTGTGGCTGTGGGCAAGTCACTGGATGTCCAAAACCTTGCTGTTCCCCTCTATGAAATGGACTCAGTTTTATCAGAGCTCTAGAAAGAGTAATGAGGCTGAATTCAACCAGATTTCTCTCTCTGGGCCTTGGCTATTCCACTGTATGTGAGACAAACAGAGTCTTCTCTTTGTAGGGCCTCTGAGACAGAAGGTCCTGTCCACTTGCCAGGTAGGATAGCAAGACCTGGAGTCTCTGCCCCATGAGGCTATATGCCATTGGGAGGGCATGTTGAGACAGGGAGGGATTCTTCAAGGCTAGATGCTGAGGGAAAGAAGCAGTCCCCCGACCAGGCACAGCCCTGGCTGCCTCAGTGGGACCCCAAAGTTGAGGGAGAAGCGATGCTAGCCATGTGCCCTCAGCTGTCAACACTAATTATTGCACTCCCTAGCCAGGACAATGTGGACCCCCAGGCTCTACTGGGAAACTTGCATTCCAAGGAAGGCATCAGCCACCATGCCTTAGCCCCTCTCCTAAGGAGCTTCGACTTGGGGATCATCCAAGTTTCTGGGGACCACAAAACAAAAGCCCTGGAGTCAACCAGCCCCTGCCATGTCACATGACCTTGGCACATCTGTAGTGATCATGATTAGTGTTCCAATCATGATGAAATGATTAGGAAGTCAATGGCCATCATTGTTGGAAGTGTGGAGTTCTCACAGTGCCCAGCCTCATCTCAGTGCCCCACATACATACCCTCATCTTTTCAATCCTCCTGAAAGTCTAGACCAGGGACATCTGGCCATATTCAGCGACACATTTGGCTGTCCCATGTTACAGGGGAGAGAGCCACTGGGATCTAGTAGGTTGGGAACAGGGATGCCATGAAACCTCTTCCAAAGCTCAGGCAGGCAATGCTAAGACCCAGTCCCACATATCAATAGGGCTGAGGCTGGGAAACCCTGCCATAGAAGCAGGCACTGCCACCGCCTCTATGTTATAGATAAGGAGGCTCAGAGAGGTGAAGTAAGTTGCCTGACGCCACCCAGCAGCTTAGTAGCAAAGCCAGAACTCAAATCAGAAAGTGTGATCTGTAGAGCTCAGGCTACCCCAGCCACTTGGCTTACTGGCCATGACCTGGAGTACCAGTGTCAAGCTGGGCCTGACAACATCACAATGGAGGTTTGCAGCCACCTGGAGAGGTAGGAATGGCACCTTCAGCCATTCTAATCCCCTGAGCCTCACTTTCTCTACCTATGGAAGGGAGACACACACCCTCATCCTTGCCATAGGGCTTCTGTAGCTTTAAACAGGTATATGTCTCTGGGGTGCCTACAACACTTGGCAAATGTCATTTCCTGTATTTATCATCACCATATGACAGTCCCCAGTATCCTCCCCACTCCCTTTTCCCCTATTGCAGTATGGCCCATGGTAGGGTCCCCCATGTCTCTCCGGCTTCTCATTCACTTAACTCTAAGACCCTGTTAAAATGGGCTCTTGCTCCCATTTTATAGCTGAGGAAACTGAGGCCACCAAGGGAGCAAATTGCCCTAGAAGAGGAGCCTTTTCCTCTCATTCACCCAGTATGCTTGTTCACGCAAGTCCTCTCTCTCTCTCTCTCTCTCTCTCTCTCTCTCACACACACACACACACACACACACACACACACATACACACACGCAGCCTTCCTTCCCCTTACCCAGTTCTCTCTGTGGCTAAAAGAGAGTTTACTCCCTGTTCTAATTTGCCCTGAAGCCTGCTATTACACATTCCAAGCCCATGCCAGTGGTGCAGGGAGGGGCCATCGGAGTACAAGAGAGGCTGGGGTGAGGCAGTATCTCCTCTCTCCTGTGTTCTCAGTGTTTTTCTTCACATGTGTGCGTGTGTGCGTGCGTGCATGTGTGCGTGCGTGTGTGTGCTGGGATGAGCACAGACCCCTCATCCCTTCATACCAACTCAGCACATCCAATAAGGCATGTACGGGCAGACCAAGGAAGTAGCACATGTGTGAATACCTCTACACGATGTCCTCCCATCTGTATTCATTTAAAACAGCTGTTTTCAAATGTTTTCGTTTCATGCATTTTTTTAACCCCTTAAAAAAAAAATCAGATCAGTCAGGTATGGTATTTCATGTCTGCAATTCCAGCTTCCAGAGGTAAAGGCAGGAGGACATGAGTTCAAGGTCATCCTCTGCTACATAGTGAGTTCAAGATCAGACCCTGTCTCAGAGAAACTAAAACTAAGAGGGACAAAACCTACATATCAAAGATAATGTGGTGTCACACGCTTGTGATCTCAGCCCTCAGGAGGAAGAGGCAGGAAAATCTCAAGTTCTAGGCCAGCGTGGGCTACATAGTGAACTCCTACCCTCCTCAAATCTATACGTCAAACTGGTGTCCACACAACACAGATGGCAGATGTGACAGAACAGACACTGAGAAGATCTAAACCACATGGCCCAGAAACAGGATTAGAAACCCCCATTGCCCATTGTACATTTATCCCACAAACTTCTCTGAGTGCCTACTATGTGCTGGGCCTCAGTGGGGTCTTGGGAACATAGATCAAAACTAGTAGAAATCCTCCCTTGCTGGGGGGTGGGGGGGAGACGGGACAGACTACAGAGACCAGCAGAGCTGGTGACCAGTGGTGTTAAGATTTGTGTAGACCAAAGGAGCTCAGCAGTGGTCCAGGGAAGCAGTGTGGGGCTCCAGTCAGGGTCCCCACACCTTCCTTTCTGCCCACAGAGGCCCTAGACTTTGGGAAATGACCCAGGGTCATCTATTCTGCTGTTGTGGCTCCCTGGCCAGTGGGGCACAGAGAGGGGATGCATTGGACATCACACAGATGATGGATCCCAGCCCCTCTGCTTACTAGCTAGGTAAGTTTGCACAAGTTCTTTGACCTCTTGGAGCATTAGTTTCCTCACCTGCCAAGGACACCAAACAGTGCGGCTGCCAGAGGTCTACCAGGTGAGCCAGGCCAGTGAGAGGCAGCCTCAGTAAAGAGCAGGCTGCACCCAGGAGGCTAAGCCTCTGAGAATCCCAGATGTTGTGGGGCCGGAGGGCTCCAGCTCCATCACCTGCTGTGGCTGCATGGACTAGGAGGGCCTGGCCTCCTGGTTCCTGTGGGTTGGCCTGACCTCACGGAAACCCTGGCACAAGTCTGTCAGATGCTGACCTGATTACGTGAGCAAGGAAAGCTGCTTAAATCTGGGGGCAGGTCTGGGCGTGCAGGGTGTCTCTACCCCAGGGGAAGGCGCCAGGGGGACTGGTTTCTCTCAGGTCCCTCCTTCTGAATCAATAAACCCAATGGGCAGCTATTAACTACCACCTGTATGAAAGGCTCCAGGGTAGGCAAAAAGGAGTGAAGGACAAGAAAAGCAAGCTTGGGCGAGAAAGCAGGTGGCCTCCACCGTCCAGCCTTTTTGGAGGCCTTTTTCTGTGTCTGCCATGACTTTGCCACTGGCCAGCTCCTGCTCACTCTCAAGTTTCAACCTTTCCTATTTATTTATTCTCCCTCCAGTGTTGGGACTGGAACTCAGGGCCTTGCGTATACTAGGCAGAGCTCTGCCCCAAAGTCACTTGAAGTGACTTGGCCTATGAAAAGCCTCCCTGGCCTAAACCAGGCCCCTGTGTTGCCCTGAAAGGGACATGTGACTCCATTTACAGTGCTCTCTGCGATCAAACAGTCACACCAACAATTATTATCCTTTCATTCATCTCCTTCTTTTCTAGAGTTTAGGTCATCCAGGAAGGGACTGGCTTGGATTATGGTTCCTTCAGTTTAACCCCATATGGAGTCAGAGTAGGAAGCTGTCAATACTTGCTTTATAGACAACCAGGGACCCCTGAGGTTCCTGCAGGTGCAGATGCTGGAGCAGCACCTGTCCTGAGGGGCAGGAGGCTAAAGGAGCAGGGTGTTTAGACTGGTGCTCCCCGCTTGGAGTGCAATAAAAGGTCAGTACACACTGAGGAAGGGTGAGGCCCGGGGCACTGAGGGAAGGAGTGCAAGGATCAGGGAGTGGGGAGTGAGGACTGTGTGGGGCTGCCCAGGTAGGAAACAGACCCTGGGCTCCCAGCACAGCCGGTGTGCATCCTCCTTGCCATCCTGTGGTTCCTTGACCAATCTGTGTGTCCCTAGATTCCTGTATGGGACCTTCAAATAAACATGACTGTGAATGCCTGTCATCTGGCTCAGTCTTCAGGTAAAGGGCATGGGAGGATGGTACTCTAGGTTAGCAGACGCTGGAGACAAAGTATAGCTATGTGCAACCCCACCTTCTAGGTGCCGTTGCTGAGGCAGTACTGGAAATGGAACCCAGGGCTTAATGTGTATGTGCTAGGCAAACACTCTACTAATTAAGCTACATCCCCAGCCAGGACCTGTGCCTTTGAAGGGGTGTTTTATAAGGATGAGGGGACTCAGAAAGGCATGGTAGCGGAGGCTGGGGGAAGGAGCACGTAGGTGGGGCTGTGGGAGTCTGAGACAGTCCTCTTGGACCTTCCTGGGCTGTGACTGAAAGGTGCTGACTGTGGGCACCCTTCCCAGGGCACTGGCAAGGGAGTGGGTTAAACACAGGCAGTAGGTGCCAGACTGGAAGGATGTGCTCAGAAAGGTCAAGCTGCTGTCTGAGTCTGCAGCATCACCCTGGTGGAGTTGCTGGTATTAGGGATTCCCGAACACACAGAGGACTGAGGCAGGTGTATATGACGGTTGAGGAAGGCAGGGTGACTGGATCCCTCTGAGAGGAGGACTCAGCCACCTTGGAGCAGCTGCTGATGGGAACAGCTCAGTCCCTTGGCAGAGCAAGACCTGCTGCCTGCCAGGCTGTGACTATCCACGGCTCCCAGGCCCCTGGCAGGCAGCAGGCGGCATGAGGCCATAAGGGGCCCTCCCTGCCTGTATTTACCTAGCAGGTCTCAGCCTAGCCCACTTCCTGTTTGCTGCACACAGGCTGCCTGTCCAGAACAGACAGAGCTCCAGTGTCCTTTCAGGTACCCCCACCCGGAGGGTGTCCCCTCAATGCTCATACCACCCAGGCAGGGCAGGTCTGGGGTGACTCACCAGCCCCAAGGAAGGCGAGGCCAACGTGGCCACAGCAGCCAGCAGTCACCACGCTATTCTGTGAGCCCTGGAGGACTGGGCCCAGACAAGTCACACAGAGACCTCTCACAGCTCTTGCCAAAATGGGGGCATCTTCAGGGGTCTCCGGCCTGGGAACTTGACATGGCAGCAGGAGTGTGGTTGTATAGACACAAAAGGCCGCCTCCTGAGGGGCTCTCTCCTTATGAGATGCAGGTCCACAGCACAGCAGACTGGTGGTTGTCAGAGGCTGTGGGAACTGGAGTGGTGGCTGCTAACAGGCCTGGGGCTCCCTGTGGGGTGATGGCATGTTCTGAAGTTAATGGTGATATCCATTTAACTAAATGCACCAAAAACCCACTGAACTGTATACTTTACAAGGCCCAGTGGATGACATGAGAATTATACGTCAGTAATCCCCCCCTACACCTCAACATCCTCCCAGCATCATATCAATACCTGAGGATTAAACACAAGACTGAACACAGCTTGGCACACAGGGCTGGGAAGTTCATTCTAGAAGGCTCCATTCCCTGTCCTAGCAGAGCTGAGCTCAGTGCCTACCCTCTTTGATTCAGAGCTTTGGAAAAGGGGTATCTCAAAACCTGAGGGACTCCTTCTCCCCAGTCAGCTCCTGTCTTGGGGGCAGTCCCAAACACCAAGAACCCTGGGGAGGATGTTGTGTCCTCAAAACACGATCAAGGATCTGTTCTGGGCTGGAGAGTGGTTCAGTGGTTAAGAACTGCTGTTCTTCCAGAGGACCTGGGTTGATTCCCAGCACCCACACAGCAGCTAACAACCATTTGTAATTTCAGTTCCAGGGGATCCAATGCCCTCTTCTGGCCTCCACAGGCTTTGCATGACACGGGTGTACTTATATACATGCAGGTAATAAACACATACACATAAAAATAAAATAAAAATAGGGGCTGGAAAGATGGCTCAGCAGTTAAGAACACTGGTTGTTCTTGCAGAAGACCCAGGTTCAAATCCCAGCACCCACATGGCAGCTAACAACTGTCCGTAATGCCAGTCCCAGGGGGTCTGACAGCCTCTTCTGACCTCCGAGGGCATTGCACAACACGGGTGCACTCACCTACATGCAGGCATAACACTCATACACATAAAATTTTTAAAAAATAGATTTTTTTTAAAGTTTAAAAAAATAAAATTAAATTAAAATAATAAATAAAACAAAATGTGTTCTGCGCTTCTCCTGTTACTGGTTGGCCGAAGGATTTGAGCAAAGTAACTCTGAGCCTCAGTGTCCTCATCTGTAAAATGGGGGTAAAACTTCCTACCACCTTAAAGTAATTGCTCCCATCTTTTTTTATTTGGTGCACTGCATTCCTGCTTTAAATTTTAAAATAGTAGGGTATGGCAGCACACACCTGGAATCCCAGCCCTTGGGAGACAGAAGCAGAAGGATCCTGAGTCTAAGGCCACCAAGAGCTACATACATAATGAAGACCCTGTCTCATAAAACCAAGAGCTAGGCTGGCAAGTTGATCAGTGGGTAAAGGCACTTGCTGTTGAGCCTGTTGACCTGAGTTTGATCCATGAATTCCACATGGTGGAAAGAGAACAGACTCCCACAAGTTGTCCCCTGACCTCCACATGTTCATGGTGGCATGTGCACACATAGACACACACATACAGTAAACAAATGTAAAAAATATTTAAAAGCCAGATATGGTGGTGCACATCTTTAATCCCAGTACTCAGGAGGCAGAGGCAGATAGATCTCTGTGAGATTGGGGTCAGCTAGGTCTACATAGCAAGTTCCAGGCCAACTGGGACCACAGGGAGACCCTGTCTCAAAAACAAAACAAACAACGACAACCCCCCCCACCCCACCCCACCCCCAGCCCCCAGCTCCTATGGTGAAGGCTGTTGTAAGAATTAAAATGCTGTAATTTGTGTTCAGCTTAGTGTCTAGCACACATTAAGCGCTCAATAAATGACAGTGGCTATCTCATTCTCTTTAACCTTCCCTCAATTAACAGTGGGGGTGGGGGTGGGGAAGAGACCCAGGGAGGTCAGGACAGGGCGGGTGCTGGAACCCAGACTTCCCAACTCTGACTCTGGGGCTAGTGCTGTCAGGGCTTGTGACTCTGCAGAGACTTCGCCTTTGGAAAGGGTTTTCTCACTGCCTCATTTCCTGCTCTTGTCGCCTCTGGAAGGTGGTCAGGAGAGATACTGCACATCTCCCACTGAGGAGACAGAGTCCCAGACAGGACAGGACACCCACCCATCTATGCGCAGGTCCCCTCTCCCCATCCCCTACAGGCAAAGTCCTGATCAGAGGGAGAAGCAACCCACAGCACGGGGCCAAGCAGGATCTGAAGGAGCCTGAGGCAGAAATCCAGCCAGGTCCCAGCAGTGCTCCCTGAGGGCTACTGTCTTCAGGGCTTCAGCTGGGAATCAGGCAGAGGGACAGCTAGGCCAGAGATCCCACCAGCAGTGCCCACAGCTTTTCGCCTTCCACCCAGCACCTTCCACGTGTTTTAATCTATGTCCTAACTCCCCAGGTTAGGTACTGCTGTCTCCTTCTCAGGGAATAAACTGAGTCACGGGGTTGACAGGAAGGGCCTGACATGTATCCAGACCAAAACATGCTAGGCACTTGTACATCACTCTCATTGGGTAGGCAGGGGCCTGGTCCCCACATCAGGTGGGCCACCAAAGGCATGGAGATACCCAGACACCCAGTGGAACTGACGTGCTGGACCAATGGGAAGCATCCAGTACTAAGACTTACTGTTAAGCCCCTGGGAGTTTGTCTCCCAGGTTAGGATGCCATTATTTTTGAAGGTCCCTGGGAATCCCCTGGCAGGCCTCAAAGCACCCCTTGAGAATGGGGTCACTCATGTGACACTCTGGGAAGGTAGAGACACTCTTCTGATCTAGTCACTGCTGAGTCCCCAGTGCCCAGACGGGGGCCTGGCACCTGGTAGCTGCTGAATGAATGGATGAATGAATGAATGAATGGATGAATGAATGAATGAATGAATGAATAAGCCGGAGACACCTGTAGTCATTCTCCCCAGAGCAGACTGGTCTCAAAAGCTGAGCATCTACCCAAGTTACTAACTACCTACCTAATATCTTCCCTCCTACCCATGAACAGGTAGTTTGCTGAGCATCTACTGCATGCAGTGCTCTCTGACCTACAAGATCCAACATTCCCACAGGGTGACACTTGATCCTGAGTCCCTTTTGCAGATGAGGAAACTGAGGTTCAATGAGGTAAGACACTTGCATATGCCCACTGGTTTTCAGAGTCAGAATTTGGTGACCCTGCCATGCTGATCTGTTGATCTAACACTCCCACCCTCCCTCCTTCTTTCCCTCCCTCCCTTCCCCTGTACTCAAGTGTTATTGAGCCCCACTCTCTACCAAGGGGTCACAGGAGGGAGCCAGGCTAATGGGTCCCCAGCTGCAAAGTTAGATTCATGTTCACTGTCCCATCCTTATCTGCTGGGATCTTCCTAGAGCCCGTGGCGTGGGCCCATACCATCTCTCTCTCTCTCTCTCTCTCTCTCTCTCTCTCTCTCTCTC